CCCACCACCACCCCCCGCCGACCCCCAGCTTACTAAGGCACGCAAACAGGAGGAAGATGATAGCCTCAGTGACGCAGGGACCTACACCATCGAGACGGAGGCGCAGGACAAGGAGGTGGAGGAGGCCCGGAAGATGATTGACCAGGTGCGACCAGGCAGCAGGACAGGCCTGCAGGACCCTCGTGGGAGGCCGCAGGGTTAGAGGGGACTCTAGGGCTGCTGGTGATGTCGGGGGCAGACACTGGCCTGCAGAATCCCAGTTCTGGCTGCTGCATCCTGTTGAGCTGGGTGGCAGGGGCTGGAGGAAGCCATGCACGCACGGCTGGTGTGGCCGGCCCTCCCTCCTGTCTAGGGCTGGTTTTGTTTCCCCACCCCACATACCTGGCTGGACAGCCAGGCTGTATGTCCCTGCCACTAGCCAGTCTGGCCAACCAGGTCCTTTGCTCTCCCTGCAGCCTGTGAGTGGGGTCATGTCTGAGTGGAGAGTGGAGAACTGGGCACCTCTGACCCTTGGTTCCCGTGGCTGTCTCCTCCTGGCAGGTCTTTGGGGTGTTGGAGTCCCCTGAACTCTCCAGGGTGTCTTCGGCCACCTTCCGCCCAGTTATCCGAGGGGACAAAGATGAGTCCGGTGACGGGGACATGGCTCAGCGGATGGCCCTCCTGCAGGAGTTTGCCTTCCGGCCGCTGGGTACAAACCCCCAGGCAGAGCCCCAGGTACAAGGCCAGACAGCCACCCCAGGGAGGGGCCAGGGCAGGAAGAGGGCAGTGTGGCCCCTGATGAAGCTGAGCTGGAACTCCCCCTGAGGGGCACACTCACCTGGCATGTGGACTGGGCTCGGTGTGGAGGACCCAGGGACAGGTGTAGAGGCCCAGAGTTGATTGGCACCTGCATTCCCAGTCCACTGACTAGGAGCTGACCTCTGAAACTCTAAACCACGCTTGGGTGAGCCCTGGCAGGGTGGTCACACTGGGGACCCACAGGCCTGGGAGAGCAACGAGGGGACTTCCTGGCTGCGTCTGCAAGGGGTGCGTGCAGGAGGCACGGGGGTGGCAGGCATGAGGGGAGCAGGTGTGGGGTGGGCTTCTCTGCCGCCCCTCCATTCCTGCCCCTTCCTGTTGGATTCTGCCGCCCCTGCTGCAGAAACATTCCTGCCCTTCTTTGCAGGGGCTCCTGGCGCCAGGCTCTCCTGTGGGTCAGAAATGGGCATCCCGCTGGGCCAGTCTGGCTGACAGCTACTCAGACCCAGGCCTTGCAGGTAAGTGGCTTCAGTGCTGTGGTGGGGGGAGGGGGCCGGGCCAGTGTGGCTCAGGCCACTGACTGCAGCCATAAGTTGCCTCCTCTGTGTCTGGAGGAGAGTCAATCTCCCGTGCACAGAGAAGACCACAGATCAGCGGACCCCAACCGGCTGCCCTGTGCTTCACAGAGGATGGCCCCGGTCGCAGAGCCAGTGAGCCTGAGGGGGCCCTACCTGTGCGCACGCGGCGACTGCTCCCCCAGCTGCCCAGCGACAGGGCGGACAGCCCCGCAGGCCCCGAGGCTGCCAGGAGGAGCAGACCTGGGCCACCAGAGCGGAGCAGTGAGCAGGCCAGCCGCCTTGTAGGCCAGGAGGACCTGGACCCAGACAGTCTCAGTGACGCCAGTGGGTCTGATGGTGGCCGGGGCCCTGAGCTGGGCGTGGAGCAGCAGGAGGAGAGGTACAGGAGCCCCCAGGAGGGGCTAGCATGGGTCAGGGGTCGGCGCTCACCGAGGATCCCCGGGGAGCCAGTCCCCACTTCTTTCTTCATCGGAGACCAGAATGGGGAGGCCGCCTTCCCCAGGAAACTGTTTTCGGCTCTAGGGGAGGTGGAGGGTGCAGGGCAGGCAGCCCAGCCCAGCCACCCTGTGAGGGACGGCGTCTACGTCAGCACCAATGGGAGAATGGTCATCCAGCTGCGGACCGGGCAGTCCCCAGAACCTAACGGCCCCAGCCTGGCCCCGCCCAAGGAGGCCCTGGCCTTTGTCCGACAAGAGAGCTTCACTAAGGAGCCAGCCAGTGGCCCCCCTGCACCCAGCAAGCTGCCCCACATCTCTAGCCACCCCCTCCTGCAGGACCTGACTGCAGCCCGGGCCTCATGCGTGGACATCCACTCCCAGGACACTCGGCTTATCTTGAAGGAGACTGAGACAGCCCTGGCGGCCCTGGAGGCCCGACTGCTGTCCAAGTCCACGGACACAGAGTGTGGGGAGGGTGGTGTCCCCAGGCCACCAGAGGACTCCCTGTCTGGGGACTCGGACGTGGACACGGCCAGCACAGTCAGCCTGCTCAGTGGCAAGAATGGGCCCAGCCCGACGACCCCCCAGTCCCTGGGGTCACAGAAAGAGAAGCCACCGTCCCCACCAGCAGCACAGGAGCTGGCAGGTGCCGGCCTGGGCAGTGCCCGCGAGCGGCTCTCGGAAAAGCAGCATCGCCCACTAGGCCTGGCAGACCCAGGTCGTGGGGAGCAGGGGCGGCGCCTGGCCGTGCAGCGAGGCCATGGGACCCGAGGCTCCCTGGACTGGCCCGATGAGGAGCGTGGCTCCAGCCTCACCCACCCACCCAGCTCAGACATGGTCACCTCCAACCACGAGACCCCTGAGGCCACAGGGGCAGCGCGGCCAGGGCCTCGCCGGAAACCAGCAGCCCCGCCACCATCCCTGGCTGCCCGGGAGGAGCACAGCCGTGGCTCAGCCAGTGCCCAGAAGGTGCAGCAGGCGCTGACCCGCTCCAACAGCCTGTCCACCCCACGGCCCACACGGGCCTCCCGGCTGAGGCGGGCCCGCCTGGGGGATGCCTCGGACACTGAGGCTGCGGATGGGGAACGGGGGACCCCGGCCAACCCAGAGCCAGTAGGCCGGCCAGTCACTGAGCAGACCAAGAAGCTGTCACGCTTGGACATCCTGGCCATGCCCCGAAAGCGGGCTGGCTCCTTCACAGGGCCCAGCGACTCCGAAGCGGCCCCCACCCGCGCCAGCTTCTCTGGCCGCAGTGCCGAGCTGTACTGTGCCGGCCGCAAGCCCACCATGGCTGAAGCTCGGGCCGCCGCTAGGAAGGCCGCCGCCACTGCCACCACCGGCCCCCGCCAGCCCTTCAGCAGGGCCCGCCCAGGCAGCGCCAGATACTCCTCCAGTAAGTTCTGGGAGCAGGCGGGCAGCCTGGGGCTGAATCGGTGTCGGGGCCATCAGGGCTCTGTGCAACTTCCTACTACGGGGCCCCTAGTCCTGTTCCCAAAGCCAGGCCGGTGTGTCACCAGACTTGCACACACACGTGTGCATGGACCAAGGGGAGTCCCCGGGTGGGGCAAGGAGACCCTGGCTGTCTCCAGGAAGGAAGGGCTCCCCCATCTTCCCAGGTGGGCCTTGGACCTCCCACTCTCCCTGTACTCCATGCTGGGTCTCCTGAGGGCTCCTGAGGCGCATATGGAGCCCCTGGCCTCCTACCCTGGGGCTCAGGGGAATGGGGAGTGCCCTTCCCTCCCATGGTTCCCCATCCCCCATGTGGGGCACACCTGTGCCCGTCTGCGAGAACCACTCTAACATTCTTCTGAGCCCACCGGCCCCATGGCCCGGGCAGGACTGTCAATCTCCCCAGCAGCAGACTCTCCCCTGAAACCCTGAGATCCATGCGTATGACAAGGGCAACGGGCGACTGAGGCTGCCAGAGCTGGCCTCCTACCTGGGGTGGCAGGACGTCCTCTTCTGCCTGCCCCACCAAGGGCCCCGGGCATCCTCGAGTGGATTGCTCTTGGGCTGGTGCTGCTGGTGCAGCTCACCCCCGCTGCTGCACCTCTGAGCTCCCACTTGCTCTAGCGAGTTTCCTCCTGACGCCCGGCATCTTCCTGCAGCCCCTCCCTGCCTTCGGGGTCTCCTGGGCAGGCTGCGGTGACAGGTCTGAGGGACGGGCTGGGAGCAGATACTGTGGGCTGAGGCGGGAACCCACTGTCCCCACCCCCACCCCCACCTCCTGCTCTATCACCGCCAGCCCCCGCAACCCCTCCTCATCTGACGGCACAGGTTTGATGGGGCATGATGCTGCTTTGGGGGCTCAGAAGAGGGCTGCTGAGGAGCCCATGACTCTGCCTGGGAGGGAGCTGGGTGGGATGAAAGCAGGCCGCTGGTAGGGAGGGGCTGTGACTGCGACTGTCCTCACCCACTGGGATGGTCCCACCCGGGACAATGTTCATGGGGAGTTTATCCCCATCGTCTGTTTGGCCAGGCACGGCTTCCCTGTCACCCAGGGGGGTGGTTCCCATCTCCTCAGGCGCAGACCCCCCCACCCCCAGACCCACCACTGGCCCTGGGGTGCCAGGCTGCCCACCCCAATTGCATCTCTGGGCTGATGGTGGCCTAGCAATCCTCTGGGCTCAGCAGCTGCTGGTGCTTCAGCTGAAGGGTGTCTGGGTGCAAGGTGCCAACTGCGACGCGGCCCATCCTGCAGGGCTGGGCCCTCACCCAGGGGGACCCTAGGGCCAGCATGGGGCGCTGAGTGCTGCTCTGTCTGTTCTTGCTTCTGAAACCAATTCACTCACACAAGACACGCGGCGCCGGCAGCAGGGCTCGGATTACACCTCCACGTCCGAGGAGGAGTACGGCTCCCAGCACGGCTCCCCCAAACACACGCGCTCCCATGCCTCAACAGCCACGCAGACCCCGCGGGCTGGCAGCTCTGGCCGCTCTCGGTCCCGGGCTCCTGGCCCCCGGGACACAGACGACGAGGAAGAGGGGACTGACCGCTACGGTTTCATCGTGCAGACAGCTGAGATTGCCGAGATTGCCAGGTGAGCGGTGGCAGCTCAGCCTGTGGGGCGCCCCCCCGGATGGGGCCTCCCCTGGGCCCAGAGCACCTGAGGCCGGGCTGGGCTGGGGGCTACCATTGCTCCACGGCTTAGCAAATGCTTGGCAGGGGGATGGGTGTAGATCTGCCCTGGGGGCAGGGGGCCTCAGGTGCAAGGATGGTCTCCACTGAGGTTTTTACTAGAACTGACCTTTTCATGGGCATTGGGCAGAGGGCCCATCCCCAGGCCAGCACTGGGAGGAGGCACAGGTAAACAGGTGGGGGCAGGAGTGGCCTTGCTGAATGGTAGGTGCTGCGGTGGCCAACCCCAAAAAGCTCTGGAGGAGCAGGAGGCCCCAGCCAGGGCTGGACAGGTGGCAAGTGGGTTGAGGATGCTGAGCTCAAGAGCCTGCAGAGCTTCCAAAGGAGGTGACCGGGCCAGGTGGCTCTTAGGAGAGTGGCCCATGCTGGCACGGAGGCACAGGCATCATTGGCTAAAGGTGGCAGCCTAAGACGTGGGAGTATGAGGCTTTGGGGAGCACACAGGGGCTTGAAGAGGGCTGGGGACAGAGCTCTCAGGACGCCTGGCTAGGGTGACACTGCCTGTGCAGAGTTTTAGAGCAGGGCGCTGTTGGTCAGCTGTGGAGGCAGGTGGGGAGCTCTGGACAGAGGCCCTGCACCTGGGTGGGGGGTCCTCCAGGCCTCAGAAGGCCGGGAGGAGAGAAGGGAAGAGGACTGGAGGCCCATGTGGATTTCTCAAGGTCTCTGCTTCCCAAAGTGGGTAGCTCGAGCCCACCAACATGCTGACTTAGGAGACAGGGGAGCAAGTGACCAGGGCGAGGGGTGAGGGCAATGAAGCAGGGTCCATGTCAGTTTGATGTCACCATGTTTCTCCTTGATGCAAGGAGGGTTGAGCCCGGTTGGGGAGCCGTGGCCTTGAGTGGGGTGAGGGCAGCCCTGGTGGGCAGCTCAGGAGGCCAGCTGGTAGCTCTCCCACTGTGCTCCACGATGCAAGGAGGGTTGAGCCCGGTTGGGGAGCCGTGGCCTTGAGTGGGGTGAGGGCAGCCCTCGTGGGCAGCTCAGGAGGCCAGCTGGTAGCTCTCCCACTGTGCTCCACGTCTGGAGCAAGGGCTGGTGGTGCCACTAGAGGTGGAAGGGCAGGTGTGGAGGGGGGGCCCCAGGACAAGCCAGACACTGGAAGCTAGGAGGGATCCTGGGAGAGCTGGGAGCAGAGACCCTGTCCTCCGAGGGCCTGGGGCTGAGGTGGGGCCCTAGGGTTGGTCTGTGTTAGGTGACTGCTGGTGTTAGAGGGCCCAGGAAGCCTGGGGATGGGGGATGCCTCCCCCCATGAGGATTGGTGGCTGACAGTGACCAGGGACCCTGTGCCCCTGACACCTGGGCCAAGGGCCTAAGCGGTGCAGGACTTGCTGGCTGTGGAGCCTGGGGTTCTTCCAGGGGGGCCAGCTGGCTAGCGTTGGAGGCTGTGGGCTCCCATGTGAGGTTCCCGGAGGAGGGGTAGGGGTGTGGGTCCCCCATGGAAGGGCTTTTGGGGGTCCTGGTCTCTCTGCCCTAAGGGAAGGTCCCTGCCTGCCCCTCCCTCTGCCCAACTCTGATCCACAGAGTCAGGAGCCCTAGGTTCTTGTTGCTGTGACCTCAGCCCACCCCCTTTGCCTCGGGTTCCCTGTTTGCAGAGCTGGGTGTGTGTGTGGCTGAGTCTCATCTGTGCCATGCAGGCCTGACAGCAGGGGAAGCAGGCAGCATGGATGCCAGGAGCCTGGGGGTCTCTGCCCACCTTTCCTTTGGACCCCACCCCTCTTATGCTAACGGGGAGCTAAGCCTCCCGGTGGGGCCATAGCCGGTTGCTGTGTTGCCAGCAGCTAGCTGGATGTGGTTTGGGGCCAGGCTGGGGAGCCGCATACCCCCAGGTCCCTGCCCCTCACCCAGTGCTGACCTGGGGGGAGTGTGCTTGGGGGAGGCAGGGGACAGCTTCAGGCCTGTCTGGCTCCTGCTGCCCCTAGGTCCTCCATGCTGGGGTTGAGAGGACCCCTGCAGGACCTGCCGTCTTTCCTGCCGGCTGCAGGCTGAGCCAGACTCTGGTGAAGGATGTGGCCATCCTGGCCCAGGAAATCCATGACGTGGCTGGGGACAGTGACTCTCTGGGCCCCACCCGCAGCCCCTCCCTTGGCAACATGGCCAGCACTCCCAACTCCACCATTTCTGCCCACGAGGAGGTGAGCCCCAGGCTTCCAGAGGCCTGCGTGCCAGAGCTGGCCAGGCCTGTGGGGCCCCTGCTGCCCCCAGGTGCACATGCCAGGGAGGAGGTTTGGGTCAGGGTCTTCGGGCAGCCCCTTGCACACCACAGCAGAGGCAGTCGTGGCCCTTGTCCCTCACTGAGGCCCCACGGTGCAGCCTGTGCTCTGCAGCTGGAGCCTGGGGCCTGGGGAGCTGCTAGTGCTGGAGCTGGGCACAGCTGAGGGCAGGGGGACCCAGGGCTGTTGGGGCATGGGGGTCTGTCTGCAGCAGGGGAGATGCCGCTGTCTCCACCCCGGGGGAAGCAGGTGGTCCAACACCACCTGCTCCTATCCTGCAGCTGGTGCAGCGCATCCCAGAGGCCAGCCTCAACTTCCAGAAGGTGCCGCCTGGCTCTTCGAACTCCCGGGACCTTGACCAGAACATGAATGACAGCCGGGAGGATGCCCTGGCCAACAAGACAAGGCCTCGGAACCGTGAGGAGGCACGGCCACCCCCCTCCCCACCACCACCTTCAGAGAGCCGGCTGCACAGCGGGTCCGGGTGCAAGGAGGAGGGGTCGGGACTTTCTGGAAGGTACCACGGCCATGCTGATGCTGGGTCCTTGCAGGTGATCTTCGACAACCTGATGCTGAATCCGGTGTCCCAGCTGTCCCACGCCATCCGTGAGAACACGGAGCACCTTGCCGAGAAGATGAAGTGAGTCCCAGCTCTGCCCAGGGCAATGCCCCAGAGTCTCAGGTGCAGATGCGAACACCAGCACGTGAGCTGGGACCGGTGTCAGGGCTGATTTCACATGACGTCACATGGCCTGATGGGTACATACGAGTGCACATGTGTGCAGCTCTCAGTAAGCAGAGCTTGAGCTCGGGGGCGCCTCCTCCCTGCAGCCCTCGTCCCTGGCCCAGCCCTCCCACCCTCCGTGTCAGGCAGAGACAGAGACTATGTGTCAGCAAGCCAGGTCCTGCTCTGGACCTCAGTTTCCCCCTTGGGCCCAGCAGTGGGTGGCGTGAGCTCCACTGTGGTGGGGGTAGGTCTGGGAGGCTGCCATACTTCGGTTCTGTTGTCACCATCTTGGTCCCTGCTCCCACCCCACTGCCGCAGGATCCTCTTTCAGAATTCAGAGCGGGCGTGGGAGGACCTGGAAGCCAGGATCAATGCTGAGAACGAGGTGCCCATCCTGAAGACATCCAACAAGGTCAGGCAGGGCCCCCACCCAGTCCCTTGGGCAGGCTCCCCAGCTGTTCTAAGCCCCAGGGGAGGGATCGAGTCCCTGGGTGGTCCTGCTCCACCCACCCTCCTCCTGCACATTTCAGGAAATCAGCTCCATCCTGAAGGAACTGCGACGGGTGCAGAAGCAGCTGGAAGGTGGGTGTGGCCGGATCTTGGGCAGGCAAGGGAGGCGCAGGGACCTGGGTGGGGGGCCCTGCCTCTTGCAGGGCTGCCAAGCAGGACCCTCTGCTGGCCTAACTCACCTGGCCCTCCCCCCAGTCATCAATGCCATTGTGGACCCCAGCGGGAACCTGGACCTGCTCATGGGAAACAGGGGCTCCGCGGGCTCATCCCAGCTGGGACTCGGGAAGGGCCGCACGGCAGGCCAAAGTCCATCCTCACCCCCCTTGACGGAGACCTTGCTGCCAGCCCTGCCCCTGAGGAGCTTACCGCAGCGGGCCAACTGCGGGTCCCCCGGCCTCCCGGACCCCGCCTTTCTCCCCGATAAGGAGAGGTTCCTGATCTAGGCCTCTGGTGGACGAGGCTGGCCTCCCTGTGTGCGTGCGTCCTGTGCCGCCCCATCCATCACATGGCCCACCTGCCCGGCCGCAGATGGTTCTCTGTGGAAACCCCCACACGTGCCATAACCCCATGGGTGGGCGCTTCCCACGCCCAGACCCCCCCAGCTCCCAGCACACCTACAGCCTTGCCACCTGGGTGCCACCCCTCCCCCACAGGCCTCCTGGTGTGGCCGCAGCCAAGGGCAAGCCCTCAAGGGTACATGCCCCACCCCTCTACATTGCTGTCATTTTGTCTTTAGCTTTAAAGGAAAAAGTAGTCTGTGCCATTGCAGCCACTCCTCCAGGCTTGGCCGAAAGCCTCTCGGTCTGGAAGGGCCGTGCACTGCCCATAATGTCCTGAGTGCTGGCCCAAGGCCACGCAGAGGAGGAGAGGCTGGGCGCGGGGTCATTCAGTGCCAAACGTGGCTGGGGAGGGCTTGGGCATGTCCCCAGGACCTTTGAGGAAGACAGGGCTGGAGCTGCACAGGGTCCAGCAGCCAATGGCAGGCAAGTGGCCCATGGAGACACTGGGGGCAGGAACCTCACTGCTTTAAGCCTTTGGTGCCATCTCAACTGCCAAACCCATTGAGCTTGTGGGCTTTGCCAGTGGAGCCCTCCTGAGTGTGGGCCAGGGGCTGGCCAAGAGCCTGCCCGTGCACACACAGGTGCAGAGACACATGCATTATGCACACAGTTAGCCCGGACATGTTTCCAGGCTGCACTCAGAGCTATAGGGCACGTCCCAGCAAGGGGCTCTGGGCCTTTGCACTTGGGCTTCCGATGGGTCTGGGTGCAGCTGGGTGGGTGAGCAGCCCCTCAGGTGGAGGCGAGTGGTTAGACCAAAGTGACAGGACACCAGATTTCTGGAAGTGGCCTGGACAATGTGCCCTCCCCTCCAGCCTCACCGCATCCTCCTGTGGGCATTAAGTGGGCATCTGCAGCAGGCTCCTGGGTGCCTGATCCCTCATGGGGGAGCGCGTTGGCAGGGACAGGCCTCAGGAACAGTTCGTTTTCTCAGGATTCTTTCAGCTGGGAGTGTGCCAGGTGACAGATGAGCATAGTGTGGCCCCTCCTGGAGCGGCCCCTAAGCCAAAGAGCCCCGTTGGCTGTGGTCAGGGGAGGTGGGGATGTCCCACCTCAACCAGGCGGGTATGGTGTGCTCTGCAACCCTCCTGGCATGTGGCAAGTGTCGGGCCTGGACAGGGCCCAGCTGCTGGGGGAGGGCACCGTGAAGCCCAGACCCAGAGCCCAGAGCAGGTGGCGCCTCCCTGTTTACATTTAGCTGCTCTGGAGTCGAGTGCATGGGCCCTGGTGCCTCTGTGCCCCCAGCCCACCTGATGTCTATGTGTGTGTGTCAGGGGTGGGTGGCGGGGTCACCACCCGGTCCCCACCCTTAGAGCCTGCTGTCCCTGTGGAGGAGGTGCTAGTCCAGCCCACCGGGGCCATGCCCACCCTGCATGCCCCGCACAGCCACCCGCACAGCCTGTCCCTGGAAGCAAGCAGTGGCCGTCCTCCCCCGTCCAGGACTGCTCCATCCACAAGCCCCTCCCCTTGGGAATCCCTGTACAATTTGTTTTTTTTTTCATGAGTTCGCGTTCCTCCCCACGTTGAGTTCTTTTATTCGTCCTCCAGCCTTCGACTTGGGATTGGTGACTTATTTGTCTGGCTTCTCGGAGGCGTCTCTTTGTACATTTGTTCTCAGGTGGTCTCGTGGTTGTCTTTCAGAATATGGTTATTTTATATGATTTGCCATGGAATTTGTTCTAATAAATCATTCTTCTGTCATGCGGCAGCACACTGGCGTCTGTCACCTTGGCCTTGCTTCTCCATCGGTGGTATTTGGGGTGGGGTGGGGCCCAGCACCCTGGAGTCTGGGCCTGGGGGTCTCCCTTCAAAAATTCGATGTGACTCCGGAGACCAGGGGAGGCTGCAGTTCAGAGATGGCGCCACTAGGTGGCAGCCTAGGTGGCAAAGCAAAACTGGGAAATTTCCAGATGTTTGCTCCATAAAAAAGAGAAAAGATAGTTATTTTATGAAAATCAGTCAATGATACAGCATCCAGGAGCAGTCTTTAAAAGTACGCCTCCGCGCTGTGCAAAAACGGGTGGCAGAGGCAGGGCGCAGGCGCTGTGCGTGCGCCCCTTCCCCCTTCTTCCCTGTACAGCTTCGGAGAAGAGCGCTGTAGACACCTGCTCCCTGCGGTGATGTCACACGATTGAGTGTCTGCTTTCATTGAGGGTGTCCACACCCTAGGCAGCCACTGGTCCCACCACCCTGCAGCACAGATGAAATTGGGGGAGCATGTGTGTGGCCGGCAGGCTGGGACCACGAGGACGGCCATCACCAGAGCCCACACCTAGCCACTCGGCCTATGGCCCCAGGAGTCACTTGTCCCTGCACATGGGCCGGCTGGTCAATGGAGACCTTCAGGAGAGCCAGAAGGGAGCTGTGGCAGCCCCACAGGCTTGAGTGGACGAGATGGGCTGGCAGGTGGCAGTGCTTACCCTGCCTGAGGGCTCTGCTCACTGCCTGGCTGCCCACTGGTCCCACATCGTGGCAGGTGGCCCTGCCAGTGGGCAGGCATGAAGATCTTTCTGGGTGTGAGTTCCTGTATTCCCACCCCCAGTGATGCCTTTTGGAGAGAGAACGTCACCAAACGGTCCTCCATCCATTGCATCCATGATGTGGCCGCCTCCCCCACCGCGGGGACACCTCCAAGGCAAAGGTTCGGGAAGTGGGAGGGGTGACCAAGTTGAGCTACCCACCAAGAACAAGGGCGAAGATTGGGCTCTGAAGTCCTCATCTGGGCCACTGCGGGCCCAGTCTCCTGCCGTGCTACCTGAGCCCCACTCTAGGGGCCACACCCAGGATGGACACCCCTGGCCTGGCCACCTTCATGCAGGAGGGTGGGTAGGGAGGCCTGAGTCTGGGCGGCAGACCACATCTGGCCTCTCGGTCCCTCAGTGAGCCTTCCTGAATTCCTGCCATGTGCTGGGCACTGGGCTGTGGGAAGTCACTCTGAACAGACAACCCCAGAACTGGTGGCTGTAGGAGGTGGAGGTGAGCCCGGCCCGAGGGGCCGGGGGTGGGGGGTGCGGTAAGGTCTCAGCTCAGGCTGCAGGGAGGTCAGGCAGGGCTGGAGGGCCAGGCTGGCGATCTGGTTTGGTGTGCTCAACATTCAAGGCCTTTCTCTAAGGAACGTGTGCTTTTTTTGTTTGTTTTTTCCTGTCTAGTCAGATCAGAGCAAGGAAGGCCTTGACTCTGGGCAGTGAGGCTGAAGCCGTAGGGGCTGTTGTGCAGAAAGGAGTTTGGCTTCTGTGTGGAGGATGGGTTGGCTGGTGCTGGAGAGGAAGCAGGGAGATGGGCCTGAGCCTGAACCAGGGCCAGTGCTGTGGGGTGGAGGGGCCAAGCCTCCTGGAAGAGGGTCAGAGAGGGCAGAGGAGACAGCCGGGTTTCCGACCCTAGTGGCCCAGAGGTGGACAGTGGCAGGGGCCGGGTGTGCGGGTGAGCTCCCGTGAGAGCCTGGAGTGACACGCAGGGAGCTGGGCATCTGGGCTGGGGTCAGAGATCGTAGCTCAGTGGCTCCAAGCCTGTTTTGGGTCTTGGGCCATTTGCAGAAACTAATAAGAGCACACAGAAATGTCGGTACATGAATTCATCTCCAATTAATTTTGTTGTTGGCAAATATATAAACCTGATCTTCAGAAAGAATTAAGTCCATGCATTTTCCATGCAAAAAATAATGGCTTTTCTCTCCCAAGGAAATTTTTTGGAAAAAAATTTCAGAGAAGTAATGGTCAAATATTCAAATTTTGCTTCCCCAAAAGAGTAAAGTTTAATTCTGCTCAAAGTAAACTTCTAACAAGAAGGCCATCATTATCTAGCTTGAGGAAGAACTTTAAACTTACGACACAGGAAACTTCTGCATCTGGCCACAAGGGAGTGACAGAGATTTAAGATGGATTTGCCCTCTCAACTTAAACACTGAGAAAACTGGAGAAAATACACAAAATGCAGCTTTCAGCAGCTGGACAACAGGCAGGCCGGGCTGTGATCCCTGAGAAAAAAGACAAATTAGGTGAGCCTGCAAATGTCCGACTTACCAACTGGGCACAGAGTTTAGCAATGTTGCTGAGTTGAGATGCACATCAGAGTTCGGGAGGCCAAGGCAACTAGAATTTGCCAACAAAACAGGGGCGAGGTGGGCACTGCACAGAGAGAGCTCCAGAGAGATGCAGAGAGGCCAGCCCCTGCACGCGCATGAGAATCTCCATGAGGCTCCAGAAACCACCACCAGGAGGCTGGAGGCTGAACACGTCTTGGAGGTGATATGGGCTTGGGAATGTCTGTATTCCTGCTAGCTAGGGAAGAAACTCATGATGCACGGACATTGTATAGAGTCCTCGGAAGGGAATTGCCATATGTGTAGGGCTACGTTAGCCTACCGTCCTGCCTCTCCTCCCCAGCACAGCCTAAAAGCAGGTCTCAAAGAAAAGTAACTTTCCCAGAACCAAGTCCAACATTCCTTAAAGGAGTACAGTAAAACCCAGCACCCAACAACGCAATGTCCAATCAAAAAGAAAAGTAACCACCCCAAGGGAGTCATGGTGCAGGATGTGCATGTATTGACACAACACACTGTACCCCACAAATATGTACAAGTAAATGTTAAAATAAATAAATAATTAAAAATAAAGGATTATAAGAAAGGAGGGGGGAAAAAGAGTAACTTTGCCAGAACAAAGTCTAATATTCCTTCAAGGAATAAAATAAAATCCAGCACCCAACAACATAATGTCCAATCAAAAATACCAGGCAAGTGCTGGCCCGTGGCTCACTCTGGAGAGTGTGGTGCTGATAACACCAAGGCCACAGGTTCAGATCCCTATATAGGGATGGCCGGTTGCTCACTTGGGTGAGCGTGGTGCTGACAGCACCAAGGCAAGGGTTAAGATCCTTTTTTAAAAAAAAAAAGACCAGTCATGCAAAGGATCAGGATAATATTTAGAGATTAAAAAACACAACATCTGAAATGAAAAATGCATTGAATGGTATTCACAGCAGAAAGACAATGCAGATCAATACACTGAAGATGTAACAATTGAAACTACCCAAAACAGGGCCGGCCCGGTGGCGCACTGCTACAGTGCACCACTTGGGAGCGCAGTGGCGCTCCCGC